TATGGAATAAGAGGACCAGTACAGACAAAGATTACCAGTATGGAATAAGAGGACCAGTACAGACAAAGATTACCAGTATGGAATAAGAGGACCAGTACAGACAAAGATTACCAGTATGGAATAAGAGGACCAGTACAGACAAAGATTACCAGTATGGAATAAGAGGACCAGTACAGACAAAGATTACCAGTATGGAATAAGAGGACCAGTACAGACAAAGATTACCAGTATGGAATAAGAGGACCAGTACAGACAAAGATTACCAGTATGGAATAAGAGGACCAGTACAGACAAAGATTACCAGTATGGAATAAGAGGACCAGTACAGACAAAGATTACCAGTATGGAATAAGAGGACCAGTACAGACAAAGATTACCAGTATGGAATAAGAGGACCAGTACAGACAAAGATTACCAGTATGGAATAAGAGGACCAGTACAGACAAAGATTACCAGTATGAAATAAGAGGACCAGTACAGACAAAGATCACCAGTATGGAATAAGAGGACCAGTACAGACAAAGATTACCAGTATGGAATAAGAGGACCAACCTCTTACAGGCCAAGAACACAAAGTCATCCCGCTACCATCTGCTGTATACAAATATATCACGACTCCGAATGTCTCCAACTGTGTACACAAAGATCAACAATGTTTCTAAACAGTAACAAGGTATTGTGTGATCTCCGGGATAAAACATCACACATGAGACACACACACAGGATTGTTCAATATGATGATTGTCTGACTGTAGATGGGCCAATCACATGCAGGGAAAGGCCGGCCAATCACATGCAGGGAAAGGCCGGCCAATCACATGCAGGGAAAGGCCGGCCAATCACATGCAGGGAAAGACGGGCCAATCACCTGCAGGGAAAGGGCGGCCAATCACATGCAGGGAAAGACCGGCCAATCACCTGCAGGGAAAGGCCGGCCAATCACATGCAGGGAAAGACCGGCCAATCACATGCACATCGATGAAAAAAAACCAACCTTGCATTATGCTTCTGTATGACCAATAAAATCAGACGGCAACTGAAGGCCAAACATTTTTTTAGTTGTGGATGGAGTGGAGAAGGATTAGATCACCTCTGAGGTTTGTATTGCTGTCTGTGTCCCTGTTAGGGAGATGCCCCTGTGTTTGTTCTGGTGATCAATGAAGGTGAAAGAAAATCTAAAATGTTGGGTTGTCACCAAAACAGGTATAGATGGGAATTCTTACAGTGTGGACACCGTTCTGACATTCCGTGTCCAATTATCTATGTAGTATGAGGACCTACCTAGTCTATCATCTATGTAGTATAAGGACCTACCTAGTCTATCATCTATGTAGTATAAGGACCTACCTAGTCTATCATCTATGTAGTATAAGGACCTACCTAGTCTATCCAACCATCTATGTAGTATGAGGACCTACCTAGTCTATCCAACCATCTATGTAGTATGAGGACCTACCTAATCAATCCCACTATGTAGTATGAGGACCTACCTAATCAATCCCACTATGTAGTATGAGGACTTACCTGATCTATCCAACTATGTAGTATGAGGACCTACCTAATCTATCCCACTATGTAGTATGAGGACCTACCTAATCTATCCCACTATGTAGTATGAGGACCTACCTAATCTATCCCACTATGTAGTATGAGGACCTACCTAATCTATCCCACTATGTAGTACGAGGACCTACCTAATCTATACCACTATGTAGTACGAGGACCTACCTAACCTATCCAATCATCTATGTAGTATGATGACCTACCTATCCAATCAAGCTGTATACAATCAGGCAGACCCTTGCGGTACATAGGTATTTGCCATCAGATTGTAATATGTGGTAAGTTTTAGGCAGGAAAGCTTCTTCTGTGTGCCCCTCTGAAACTGGTTTTACTAATTACTTGATTTCCCTGACTCTGGCACTAAGCCCTGCCCACTGCCATCCCCTTGTCCAATGAGGCTCCTCCATACTGGTCAGTGAGGCACTATCATTGGACAGGGCAATAGCAGGTGGGCAGGGCTTAGCCCCAACATCAGTGAATAGAGTCCGAGAGCACGAAACTAACAGTCTGAATGTCCAAAAGCCTTTAATATTAGTTCACATACACCTACGCATTTCGGGTACTTAGAGGTAATGGATAATCATAACGACTCAAAGCTGGCCCAAATCATTATTTGATGTATAGCAGGGGTGGGCAACCATGGCACTCCAGCTGTTGTTGAACTACAAGTCCCATGAGGCATTGCAAGGCCCTGACAGCTACAGGCAGGACTCCCAGAAGCAGACGCATGATAAGATTTGTAGTTTCTCCCAAGCTGGACTGCCGAGGTTGCATACCCCTGATTATAAAATCTTCAGGCCTCATACAGACTTTCAGTCACCACTGAACTTTATTGAACTTCCATGTGACTCACCCATCGCTCACTCCCAGCTAACATGACCCGGCATTCATACAAGTTCAGCATCTCCCTCCATCTGAGCTGATTCTACACCAATACTAGGTGCAGAGGGATAAGGAATGGGTCAAACTGATACTTTTTACTTGATTTTGGCAAATAAGAATAAAGATTGGTGTTTTCGAGATTATCTGTGTAATAATAAGTATGCATGGAGGTCCCATGTGCTATATCAGTGCCCCTGTAATAAAGACCGGACACTGCAGCTCTCTCCTTGTGCAGGGTGACTGGTCTTGTCTCCGCCCCTCCTGTAATAAAGAACAGTCACTGCTGCTCTCTCTCCTTGTGCAGGGTGACTGGTCTTGTCTCCGCCCACTCCTGTAATAAAGACCGGTCACTGCTGCTCTCTCTCCTTGTGCAGGGTGACTGGTATCATCTCCGCCCCCTTCTATAGTTTTCTGCAGGGAGCCTGTAGTGGGTGGAGCCTGTAGTGGGTGGAGCCTGAATGAAAATATTTGTGCTTGGCATTCAGTTTTAAGTTGGATGCTGCAAAGGGGCTACAGCAGTATGAACATTTTGCATCTGATGAAGTAGTTTGGGGCTTTGAAGGGATCTTATGGAGGAATACTCCATGTGTTTGGCATGCATCCTGGTGCGTTTTAGTAAATGCGGCATGTCCTATCCTGCTGCCTTTTTTTTCTTGTATAGAAATCAATGTGAACGCACTTAAATCAGAATCGGTCACTTTGCCCATTGAGCCCAATCCCCAACTCCTGTCCTCCCCATCGCCACCCACTGACACCTGCCCTGGGTCCCTTGCCTGTGTGAGCTCTATCTTGTGTCAGGAGCTTAATGACCTACTCCCCTCCATCAGGTGACAGTATTCAGGCCTGGCGATTGGTCACTCCAATCCAGGGAGCAAGGCGAGATGGTCACATGCTTCCCCATATGAACAGGTACCAGCCAATTGAGTGTGACGAAGGTGAGTATCGGTGTAGGGGAAGGGTGGGGGGAAGAGTTCGCTATCAAGAGAACCGGTCACTTTGCCATCTCTGCCACAGAGTCTCATGCAGATGACAACAGCACCAGGAGCGCAGTGCTGGCCGTACACAAGGATCAGTCTGCAGGCAGTTAAATCTGGTTCAACTGCAAAACCAACTGAACAGATCAAGGCAACCCGATGGCAGCACGTCACATGACCTCCTCTGATAGAAACCTTTGCTGGTAGGTCTCATCCATATGTTCAGCCATTGCTGTGATTGAACTCTGTGCAAGTGTAAACTCAGCTCTGGTCACCTGACAAGTGTAAGCTCAGCTCTGGTCACCTGACAAGTGTAAGCTCAGCTCTGGTCATCAGACAAGTGTAAGCTCAGCTCTGGTCACCTGACAAGTGTAAGCTCAGCTCTGGTCACCTGACAAGTGTAAGATCAGCTCTGGTCACCTGACAAGTGTAAGCTCAGCTCTGGTCACCTGACAAGTGTAAGCTCAGCTCTGGTCATCAGACAAGTGTAAGCTCAGCTCTGGTCACCTGACAAGTGTAAGCGGAGGGGGGCGGGGGGTGGGCGTTGGGGGGATTCCCCACATGTCCGCTGTCACCCTGAGGCGCTGGCTACAGAGGGAGTGCACATGGAATTGTCACCCAATCAGGACGGCAATTACAGGATTGGGGAACTCTCATGTATGGGCAGCTTCACTCAGATCTCACCCAAACCCTGGTGTCCCCAACTGTCACTCACACTAGTCATGGTGTCACTAAGCTCAGACTAAGCAGAGAGCATCTCATACACAGCATGGTGTCACTGAACATGGCACGGTGTCACTGAGTGCAGATATGGCCTGGTGTTACTGAGCACAGACATAACATGGTGTCACTAAGCGCAGACATGGCACGGTGTCACTGAGCTCAGACATGACATGGTGTCACTGAGCTCAGACATGACATGGTGTCACTGAGCGCAGACATGGCATGGTGTCAATGAGCGCAGACATGGCACGGTGTCACTGAACGCAGACATGGCACGCTGTCACTGAGCGCTGACATAGCATGGTGTCACTGAACGCAGACATGGCATGGTGTCACTGAACGCAGACATGACACGGTGTCACTGAACCCAGACATGGCACGGTGTCACTGAGCGCAGACATGGCACGGTGTCACTGAACGCAGACATGGCACGGTGTCACTGAGCGCAGACATGACACGGTGTCACTGAACGCAGACATGGCGCGGTGTCACTGAGCGCAGACATGACACGGTGTCACTGAACGCAGACATGGCATGGTGTCACTGAGCGCTGACATGGCACGGTGTCACTGAGCGCTGACATGGCACGGTGTCACTGAGCGCTGACATGGCATGGTGTCACTGAGCGCTGACATAACATGGTGTCACTGAACGCAGACATGACACGGTGTCACTCATGTGTCAAGGCACGCACACTCATCTAACACTCAGATCTCACTCTCAATTGTCACTCAGATCTCACTCAGGATCTCTCGGTCATTTCTCACACTGATCGGCGGATGTCTCGGTCATGTCTCGGTGTGCGATCTGCGCTCTCATGCAGAATTCGTGCCGTATCGGCCGATGTTCTCTTCTTACCTTCAGGATCCCGGCCATGTCCTCGCCGATCCTCCTCCGTGCAGCCGTACAGCAAATCCGCCGCTCACACTGCGGCCATCCGAGCAGCAGAGGCCGCCTCACCCCCCTCCCTCCCCGGCCAGTCAGCCAGACACTCCCCGGTCACATGGGGCTCCAGCTGGGGGTCTCAGCATCTTCCTCCGCCCGATCGGCCGCCACCAGCCCTCCCCCCCCCATGTCACCCCCGGGGCTGCGGACCGCCTCAACTCCGCTACAGCCTGCGATCCGCTATACCGGGAGACGGCCCGTCCTACACACGATGTATACCGGCAGAGGAGGATCACAATCTCCCATAGCTATACAGAGAGCCCTTTATACAGCATGAGACCTCCATATAGAGACCCCCAATATATACCATGAGACCACCATCCCTCCATATACAGACCCCCTATATATACCATGAGACCACCATCCCTCCATATACAGACCCCCTATATATACCATGAGACCACCATCCCTCCATATACAGACCCCCTATATATACCATGAGACCACCATCCCTCCATATACAGACCCCCTATATATACCATGAGACCACCATCCCTCCATATACAGACCCCCTATATATACCATGAGACCACCATCCCTCCATATACAGACCCCCTATATATACCATGAGACCACCATCCCTCCATATACAGACCCCCTATATATACCATGAGACTGCCATCCCTCCATATAGAGACCACATATATATACCATGAGACTGCCATCCCTCCATATATATACCATATATACCATGAGGCCGCCATCCCTCCATATACAGACCCC